CAACAAAATGAAATCGTAGCTTTGTGGAGAAAGGTCTTAGCTTCAAAATCATGTTTTGTTTTTTTGGTGTTACATTTCCATTTCTGGTATACTAAAGGATATACAAGACCAATAAAAAGTTGTGGGACTAGGTGTCCTGCACTATATAACAAAATTTATTTATATAAATATTTATTTAAACATTTTTTTAACAGGTTTCAACATGTAAAGGATAACCTAAAAAAGAACCACAATCTCTGTGGTTGACAGATTAGTACCAAATGCAAGCAATTTTCTACATTTGGAGGCGCTGGAATTCACTTACACAACCATAGAAACATCATCATCATCATCATCATCATCATCACCACCACCAAACAAGAGCAAAAATAAAGAAATAATCATTGATTAACTTTGAAAAAACTCGAAGACACGTTCATTAGGTAAGGTGGATTGTTTTTTTTAAAAAAAAAGAAAAAAAGATAATCAGAAATAAAAAAGCAAAATCTTTTGAAAAAATTGTTAAAAGATAGTAGAGTGTGATCAGGAAGAAATTGATGAACTAGAACTTCGAGAGCTCAGATAATGACAAATGAAACACAAACACATAAAATTAAATTATTTTTTTCCTTGCATTCATTTTTTATTTCTTGTAGATTAGTAGATTAGTAGATTAGGAACAATGTAAATCCATTATTGAAAATTTTGACGAATAAAAAATTTTTCACATGATGAAAAATGATTGGATATCTCACTTATATGATAAGCAACTCCTATATGTATTTATCACATTGTCTTTTCTTTATTTTTTGACATGCAAACTTTGTAAAGATGGTTAATGCAAAATTAGAAGTATAACGTAAGCTATTTTACATTTTTGGATGAATGGCATCCATTCACCAAGAGAAATACATGAAAAATCAGAAATACCCTAAAAAAGTTAAAAGAAACAGCCACTATTGAACATAAAGGTGGCAATGGTCATCCATTCAAGGTCACACAAACATTTTCACGTTCTATTGGGCAAGTTATTCACCACAATAATGCTGCTTCAACAGATAACTTGCAGTAAAACTTCAAGAAACACATATGCATCTATTTCACATCATACTGTATGGAGACATATTAAAAAAATTTATAAGAGTTCTGTACCCATTGGAACACCAATGTCAACAGCCTGCCATATTGAAACAAGAATGGCATGGGCACAATTTCATATGAATGATAATTGGAGTCGTACAATTTTTACCAATGAAACAGCTTTTGACTTGTTTTGTAATAAAATTCGCAGGTGGCATAAAGACGGACAAAGACCAATTCAGAGATTGCCAAAAGAGTGTCAAAAAGTAATGGCCTGAGGTGGTATTTCATTAAAAGGCAAAACGTCATTATTTTGCTTTACTGATATTATGGATGGACCTTATTATGTTAACATATTGGAAACCCAGCTTTTACCTGCTGCACAAAGATTATATGGTAGAAACTGGCATTTACAACAGGATAATGATCCAAAGCACACATCATGCGTTGCAAAAACTTTTATGAAAACAGAATTCGTACAATAGACTGGCCATCCAATAGTCCTGACCTTAATCCCATTGAGAACATGTGGTATATCATGAAAAATAATGTTGAAAAAAGAATGCCAAAGAATGTTGACGGATTGAAGAGATTTATGGTTGAGGAGTGGGAGAAAATTCTACAGGAAATAATTAAAAATATTATTATGTCTATGAAACAGAGATAGAATTTCTTATTATTATTTTTTATTTAATAAAGTATTTGATAGGCTTTTAAATGAACCTAATTTTATTTGTTTATCTTGCATAATTGCTAAGATATGCAATTTTTTGTGCACGCCCTTTTTTTTGAGACACACTGTATGTGTGTTTATGTATACATAATACATAATTAATTGCAATAATAATAATAATAATACACATAATGTATAAATAACATGTGAAGTTAATATTTTTACTAATTAGCAATTAATAAAAGTTTGTTTATTTATTTAACAAAATGGATTTTTGTATACTGCCACACAGTTATTTATCTATAAAATTAAAAGAAAAGTATGCACACATCCCTTGAATATAAGAAATCAATTCTTTGATAAACAAGCCATTTTGGAATTAATGAAAGTAGAGCCTTTAGAAAACAATTTCCACTCCAAAACGCTTTCTCATTGACTGTTCATAAGACACAAGGTCCTTACCTCATGTGACCATCTCTATCAATGAAAATGCTGAAGGGTAGCATTAAATAGAGCAAGTTCCTTAGAAAATTTACGCAACATGGAAGTCATGTGTGTGCTCATTAATTTATCATTGGTCAAAATTATGCATAAGAAACTCTAAATCAGTAAAAATTTGACAATTGAAGAAATTAAACAACAATCAAAAAAAGCAGAAAATGAATATAGAGAGGTGAAGGAGAAGTTGAAGAAGTGGGAGGAGGGAAAAAAGTAGGAGAGATTAGACAAGTTAGGGGAGATGTTGATGAAGGAGTATTAGATAATGAAGAGAGGAAGAGGCCAGAAGAACAGAGAAATGAGTTGAAGAAAGAGAAGGAAAAGTTGGAAGTGGAAAAGGAGCAGTCAAGGTTGAGGAGAGATAATTGGGATGAGTTACTACGAAAAAAATTAGATGAAGGAACAGGCAATGATCAAATTGCATAAAAAATATACAAAAATTTATTTTCCATTTATTCCATTTTGTTTGTTTATTTATTATTATTCATTTGAGAGAGTATTGATATACTTGTTTGTTTTAATAGGAAAAAAAAATACATAATTTATTTACTAGACACTCCTGACCTATAATCAAAAAATAAATGGCCCTACTTTATTGCGAGCACCCCTTATAATGCATTTTTGTACGTATTGGTCCAATTTAATCGGCCAAGCGAAAAACAGTCTTTACAAAAACCGTAAGGAGCGATGTCCGAATTTTTATCTACAGTAGTAATACAGCTCGATTAATCCGAACTATTCGAACTATTCGTTTGTATCACGAATAGTGACGCTAGCTGGCTAAAAAAAATTTCTCTTGGCATTTATTTTTACGTCTGGAATTTTAGTGTAGAATTCAGTGGCATAGACATTTAGTTGAGATTGGTCCACCTGCATTACTTAGAATGACAAAAAAAAATTTTTGCTCAAAAACAAAAATACAATACATTGTAGCAGGATAAAAGTCATAGTTGGAGTTTCTATTCGTAATGTAAATTCTTATTTAATTCGAATTATTCTTTTTATTCGAATAAACTTTCAATGTAATTCGAATACTCAACTTCATAACGAATAAAACAAATAATTTGAATAAACCTTATTCGAAATATTAAAGGCGAGGTATTATACTAATAATAATAAATAATAGTTAATATTAATTATAGCAATAATAACGATAGTAGTAGCAATAATAATACCGGCAAGCTTAGCACCATCTGAAAAGTTTTTTCATCAACTGGGGTCTATTTAAGTTCTTAGTCGGCTAAGGTTTTCTACCGGCTAAGCTGTTTAAAAATTCCTTGGCCGGCTAAGCTGATAAATTTCTTAGCCGAGTAACGTCACTAATTACGAACAGAAACTCTAGCCCGGTTCAATAATAATAAAGATTTTAAACGCTTTGCATTTCGTTTTAGTTCCCTACAAATGTCTGAGCAACATTGTGAAATTTTTATACAGTCGTTTCAACGAATTATAATTAAATTCGCGTTACTATGAATTTTTAAAAACATAACAGTCAGACAAGATTTCGTTTACTGATTTTTACTATATGATCGACATAGCACGTTTTCTGTACAACAGACTTTGAAGGAAGAATTGAATACAAGATTATTAATAAACAATTTTTATGCTCTAAATAAATATAATCTTGTGCTTTTGTTCATTTAATTCAATTTTTTACTTGTCAATAGCTTGTTTTGTTATAGCGCAATAGCTTCCCAAAGAGACCCATACTTTTGACTTTAAAGGCCTAATTATTTATGAAAAACAATTCTATTAAGATCATTTTAGCATCATAAGATAGAGTACATTGAGAACTCTCAGAAAATATATGGTTCATTTGGTTTTCTTGAAGGTGGAAGAAATTAAAGGCAAAAAACAATTTTATAAGTTATTTATGACTATTTTATATTAGTATTAAATTTTTTTTTAATTAGATCATTATACTAATTTTATTGAATTATCTAATTTAGATAGAATACATTGAAGTAATTAAAAGCAATAATTCAATGTAATTTTATTTTTGTTTTCTTTTTACATTATTATACCTATAATCCCTAACCTTAGTAGATGACCATGAATTATTTATTTTAAATAGATTCTGTAGGATGATCAAACAATTCTTGAAGAATTTCAAGTTCCTCATTTGTTTTTTTGTGTCTCTTATATTTTAGTGAAGAAGTTTCAACCTCATCAATTGGTGCAACTGTTATTTCTGAAACCAGAGTGGGTAAATTGCCTCCAACTTCTATCTCTTTGTTTGATTTACCTTTGTTGATTTCTTTGATGAGTTTATTATGTTCTTTAACTTTCACAAAAGCAACATCTTTACTTTGTCTACCAATAGTGGAACATGGTATTTTTTTGTAAACTTCCTGATATAATAGATCATTAAGGCGTTTTAGGCCTTTTTCATAACATGTGAACATATTATTAAAGCCATCATCATTCATTTCTTTTGTATATTTAAAAAAAATTATGTTCTCTAGGATCTGGAAGATCAAAGGCCTTGGTTAATTCATCAACAACAGACCATAAAATATCTCTTTGTTGTATTTTTGCTTGCTCTCTTTTGTGAATGGTGTTTTTTTGAATCAATTCTGAAATAAGTGGCTCCAGGTGTTCTTGTTCAGTTTACATTTTTTTTTATGAATTTTACTATTATTAGTGTTTTTTTTTTAGAATTAGGATTGTGAAGTTGTTTAAGATCAAAGTTACAATGGCTGGTACAAACTCCATATTCATATAAATCATAATCAGAACCTGCAGATACATCAACTTCCCATGTTCCAAAGGGCTGTGCTAATGGTACTAATTTTTCTGTTGAACAACATTGAGAAATCTTCCCTTCTGAGTTGTAATTATCAATTATAACACATGGTGATAGCTTTGTTGGATTAGCATCAGGTATAACAAAGTCTCCTTTGTCACCACTATTATTGAGCATATGAAAATCCTCATCACTTTCCCCTTTGCCATCTTGTATATCTTGAAGATTCTGTAAACCAAATATAGTTATTGCAGTTTCCAGAGCCGATTCATCTAACACAAATACTCTAGAATCATTATCTTCATCACATTCATCCTCTGATCCCTTTTCTTTTTCAACTAAATTATAATTTACTTCTTCCATCAACTCAATTTCTTTCTCATCTAAATTTAAGTTTTCTTGAGTCAATTCCATTTTATTCTTATATGATTTTAATAACAAATTTACAGCAAGAGAGGTGGAGATGATTAAAATGTAAAGATTATGGATAAAAAATTATGGAAGATAGGTATTTAAAAAATATATATGATTGCAAGAGATAAAATATTTATTTATTAATAATTATTATAATGAAATTATAATGATTAAAATGATTAAAAACAGATTTATAAGAATATCATTATATGATTATATCATATTTATATTTAAAATGACAATGTACTTAATTCCTTTATCTGCTAAAGAAAGACTTCATTAATAATCAATCATTATAAAATAATAATAAATTTAACACTGATTTATAGATTGGTTGATTGGTTGGTTGGTTAATTGGTTAATTGGTTAATATTGGTTAATTGGTTAATTGGTTAATTGGTCAATTTAATTGACTGATGACTGCTATATTCTATATTTAAATTGTTAAACATCAACTGACTGAATTATAAATTAATTGATAAATTTTACTGAAGGCTAATTGCTGCTAATTGCGTTGATCAACTAAACATATATATGTTATTCATCACACACTCCTCCAATTCATTATTAAGATTGTTTGTTCTTCCAATAAATTTACATAACTTACATACAATACATACATATAATGAACTTAGCCATTACGATTTATGTGTGTGTGAGTATATGTATGTATGAAAAATCCAATTACTGTTACTTTTCAGTAACCTTTTCCAATTAAAGAAATGCCTCCACTTTTTTTTTTGAATTTCTGATTTCTGGATAATGATGATTACAAATAAAAATGCTGGTTCATAATTTATTATTCATTCATTAATTGAAATTTGTAAACTAAATCCTATTAAATATTATTACATAAAATTAATTAATATATACATGTGTAATAACAATGAATTAGATGAGAATAATGAAATACCAAATTAATAAAGTAAATAATAGTGAATTTTCTAAATTACAAACCAAAAAAAAAACGTCAAAAATATTAGGATTAGATAATAATGTATTAACATAATATAATGTGCATACGTTGATGCAAGTGTATGTTGTTTGGCTTGTGAGTCAAAACAAACTAATCAACTAATTAACCCAATTAAACGGTTGTTAATTAAGTAAGCCTTTACTATCATAAACATAAACTACTAATAATGCTTACAGTATATTATTATGTGTAAAAAAATGTGGTGGAACTTGCCTTTTGTGTTTCACTCCTCTAAAAAAATTATTATGTAATCCAAAAATAAATAAAAAAAACAAATTTTTTTTGTTGTTTGTTTATATATATATATTTATACCATTTATTACAAAAAATCCTTATTTTTCATTATCTTCTTTGAACAACTTGCTGATTCTCCACCTGATTTCAATAATTTTTCACAGCATTGATACAATTGATTAATCGATTCTTGACATTTTGACTCTTGATAATTGTTTTTTTGAAGACAGGCTTGGATTGCACATGCTTCCTTATGACAACTTTCTTCTTTCTGATGTTGTCGTTGAACTTTTTCCCTGTTGAACATTTTATTTAATTAAATGAAGAACTGTTTTTTTTGAAAATTTCCCTTATCAATCAATATGTATAAATATAATATATGCGTGTGTAAAAATTTGGTTATTATTTACAATTGTGTTTACAACGTTTGAAAAAAAAAAATAGAAATATAAAACATTAATTGTATAATAACATCTGAATGAAAACTTTCTCAGTTATTTAAATATAAAAGAAAAACTTTAAATATTGTGTGTGATGATGATAGTAACGTGATGAATAATAAGCGAATTTCCCATCACATGTATATGCACTTCAATCACATGCCATAGTGTTAGAAACAAACTATTAGTGAATCACTGTATCCAATTAATGAGCAAAAAGACTAGACCTTGGGTCATGAGCTACAATTGATAAATCATATTCCCTTTTTACCAAATAGCATATGGAAGAAGACATAACTTCTTCATCTTCTTTTTCCAAAAATAAAAACTTCCGGACGTTAATCTAGCTGGATACAAAAATGAGTCCTTACGGTATTAGTGATGCAGCAATGATTGGCCTTTTAAACAATTATAATTCAAATATTACTGCAAAAAGAAATTTTTACAGTCAATTGTTATTATAACAGGTTGGGGATGAATAAGATGTAAATTTTCAACATGAATCATCTTGGTAAACTCTGCTTAAACTAAGGTCCTGAATTTCGGTGGCCAAAGAAAATAAATAGGCCGCTTTACTGAAAATTTGTAGTTTTGCCTCCCTGAATTTAAAATACAAGACATAGTTAGAGAAAACCGCAATAGATTTCCCGTTTTTGCTTCATAAATCCCGTGACTACCAGTAATAAGCTCATGTTGTGTAATAAAAAAGCATGATACAAAGTTGCTTTAACAAAAATTTATATATTGATTATGCAAAAAAAGTTTTATTTAAATTATTTTTAATGTTCATAATTATTTTAAATAAAAAAAATTACGCATTAATTTTTTTAATTATATTTTTAGATTATTACAACATGTATTTGACATTTGATGATTACTTTGCCTACAATCATTATTGCTTTTACAGTTGATAATGATAAAGATAATAAATAATGGTTCTTTCTTTCTCTCCAAAATTCATTATTGTCATTATCATCATCATCATCATCATCAGGATAATCTTTAGGATCTAGGATTTCATCATCAATGCATACACGCTTTTGATTATGATTTTTTTTATGGCTAGCTTTATATCTTCCTCCTTTCGTCTCTTCTTTTCCCTCTTCCTCCTCTCGTCCCTCTATTCAATTCTTCTTTTCGAAAGCTACCATTATTATTGGGTTTTCTTGGCTTAGTTGACGTCGAATAATCTTTATTATTATTCAATGATGACGATGACGATGACGACGACGACGATGATAAATATGTTGCCGCTTTCTTGATTGAATTACCACCACCACCACCGCTAATACTACTATTAATACTACGACCATAATCATAATCATAATCATAATCATAACCGTAATCATAATCATAATCATAATCATAATCATAATCATCGCCATTATCATCTCTTCCATTTTTTCTTTGAACACAAAATTTTGTTTTATTCTGTTTTTCGATCATTTCTAAACAATACCCTTGTCGAGGATCATTCCATGCAATAGCACTTTCAGGTGGTGTTCCCCATCCTTCATCATCATCATCAATAACAACTTTTTTATTATTAGCAACTGTCATCGTTTCATTTTTATTCTTAGAGTAAACACTCTTTTTAATCGATTCCTCCTCCTCTTCGACTTCAATTGTATTGTCAGAGTTTGATTGTTCAGTTGCACTGGAATCCCAAATCATATCTATTACTGATCCTGGTTCTGAGATTTTTTTATTGATTTTTACATCATTTAACAATTTAGTTTGATTACTCCATGACGAAGAAGAAGAAGAAGATGTGGTCTTCGTTGTATCAGTAGTTAAACTATCCCAAGTACCAATATCAACTAATATTTCTTTATCATCATTAACATCACAATCATTGTTAATGGAGTCAGGCGAGATGAATAATTTGGAAATATTTTGTTGATGGGAGTCCACAACAACGGCATCTTTATCTTTATTGTTATAGTCGTCATGTCTTGACTGGATTCCAAAATCTGCCCATCCACCTAAATCATCTTCACCTCCAATAGGTTTATTCCATGACGATTTATATCCTTTTATTGTTGTTGATTTTAATTCATTATTTACTTGCTTATCGTTACCCACTTCTACTGCATGATCATTATCATTATTATTATCATAAATTGACCGACTCTGTGCGACTTCTTTACGGTATCCTTTTTTCTCTTTTTGAATATTATTATTATCATTATTGGGTATTGGTAAAAAGTACGATGATGGTGTTGATGGATTTAGTAATTGTTTTGGAGGTGGAGGACAGTGAAGACTAGGTAATTTTATATTAATCGATGACCAACAACTTCGTGTTTTTTTAATAACTGTAGTCCACGAATCATGTCGATGTTGCGCTGATGCAGAAATTGAAGATGTGGTTGCGGTTGCAGTGGCGGTGGTGATAAAAGTGTGTTTTGTATCTGATATTTTTTGTAAATTTTCACCATTCCGCAATTTATCATTTTTGTTATTGTTATTTCTATTTTTATTGGTTGAAATGTCTTGATAATTGTTAGTTTCAGAAAATACTTTTTTAAAGGCACGATCAATAACATTTGTAGGTAAACCCAATTCTAACGACAATTTAATGAGCTTATCTTTTGAAAATTTTAATAATAAAATTTTGTCATCGTCGTCATCGTCATCATCAATACTATTATTGTCATCATCATTGTCATAATGAGCTATAGAATTGCCATTGAAATGTTTCAATTGGAATTTTGCCAATTTTTTTATATTCTCTTTTTCAACAGTGCATTTTGCTTTAGCGTCAATCGAATTATATATTCCATTTTGTTGCTTTTTTTGTTGATATTCTGCAGAAAATTGATAGATAAAAGAATTGATGATTGATGGCATCCCATGCAAAATTATTTTTTCGAGTTTTGGTGAAACATTGACAAACCAATGTATAGCTTCTGGTGCAAATGAACCACATGAATCTATAATAACATGTGCAATTGAATGACTACTACTATTATTATTATTACTAGTTTGATTTCCACCACCACCTAAATATTTAAGAGAGAGATCTGTAATGTTCCTACACTCAACTAAATTTATCAAACAAAGGTTTTTTTGATTAGATGCGATGCTATTGATCGAATCATCAGTTATATATGAACATTTTGAAAGTCCAATATTTTTCATTTTTTTACAATGTATAACGATAGTTGAAATTATATGGTCATCAATTGGTAAATTTTCAAGTATAAGTGTATCCAAATTATGACAAACTGGCCTTAACCATTGCATCTCGTTTGGTAAAATACTAATTTCTTCTTGTAAGCACCTAAAATCAAAATATACTAGTTCCTTTGCATAATATATCACCACTTGAAATGTTTTGATGGTAAGGCCTTTACTTAATAATTGAAGTTTTTGTAGTTTAGGATTTTTTTTAACAAAACTTTCAATGTTTTCATCGATAAGATGAGGACAATTTTGTAATATTAGGTTAGTAAGTTTAGTAAATTTTTTTGCTAGTGAATCAAATCCTTTTTCCGTCATTGATTTAGTCGAAAGTTTAAGTGAAGCAAGCATTGGACATCTGGTTGGTAGTATTTCTGCAAAGCCATCAGACAAATTAAAATCACCATCTAAATCCAACACACAAAGATCATGCATATAATTTATCGATGAATAGAATGCCTTGTGAGTTATCAGTTGAGTCTGATTCTGATCCTGATTTTGATTATTGTTATTGTTATTAACATCATTACCATTATTGATATTAGTATTACAGCCAATCACTAAAATTTCCTTGAGTTTTGGACAATTTTGTGATAATGATTGTAGATGATTATCAGATAAATTCCATCCATAAACTTTAATTTTTTGTACATTTTCACATATCTTTACAAGATTTAATATGAAATTTGGTCTTGATATGACATAGGTTGACATTATTTTATGCTCTTGTCGCTCGGAATTTAATACAGGTAGGAAAATGTCACTAGTGATATTTTCCTCTGGTGCACATAGATTAAGAGATTGAACTCTTAAAGCGCATTGTCTTGATTCTTTAACTGCTCGTAGAAAAAAGCGAAGAGAATCCGGCGTCTTGAAATTTGGCTCTGACCACAACACACTCTTAGCTACTGGTGACCATGTCTTGTTAACTAAACATAAGTTGTATCGATCTAGTTGTGACTCTAAGAATTGTGCTATCTGCTTTATAATTTTGGAATGTAACCTAAGAGCTGAATTGGGCGTAGTAACTACTTCTTCAAGATCCCAAACATTCTTCATTATAACTTTTAATAGAATTATTATAAATAAAATAAGATTTAAAATTTTTTTTTCTGAAAAAATTTTTTTTTTTGCAAAAGCTGGAAAACTAAGACTATCCAGAAGAAATACGCGATTATTATTGGTAGTGCTGATGATCTTCAGAAATTTCTAGATAAATTTTTTGACGCGAAAATTTTTAATCTTGAACATGGACACTTTATAAATGCTTAATGTAATCAATGTAATCATTAAATAATTTTATTATTTAATATTATTATACAAATTTATTTATCAAAGGAAATATTTATTCTTTATCTTCTTCCATAAAATCTGGATTTTTGCAAAGCAAAACAAAACCTTCAAGAATATGAGATAATGATATATCTAAAGATTTTTTTTGAGTTAAGGTGATAATATTATGATAATTATAACAAACAAAATTAACATCTTCGCAACAAAAATAATAAAGGATACATTCTTCTGTTGCTAGTTCTGCACGTTCGGAATGTGCCAATAACACTGGTGTTGAATGTGTTTGAAAGCCCGTAATCGTTTTGGGTCTACCGGCCTGTCCCACAACATCAACTGCCTTTATAATTTTTGGAATTAAAAAAAAAATTTAACATATAGATATATTACTTAAATACATGATTAATAAATATTACCTGTCCTACACGAACTGTGACAGGTAAGCTATTTAAATTTTCATCAAGTGTAATTAAGAATCTAGGATACATTGCTGTTGCCAAATAATACAAAAACCAATGATATTTGCCCAGTATGACTGTAAATTAATAAATTAGTTTTATTAATTATCTTAATAGTAAAACTTTTCACACAATAATTATAGTAATAATAAATAAATTACGCGTTTTAGTGTCTGTAAAAGCAATTAAAGTTATTAAAACTCCGGCTATTGCTACAGGTGACAATAATTGTCTGTCAGAGTGAAACGAGTTTATTGATATGGTTCCTTTACCCATATGTAATAGACCCTAAAACAAATCAATTCAATAAATAATTAACTTCCTTTAACATTGCAATAGATACAAAATAATAAATAATAAATCCAAGAATATTTTACCTGTGCTATTCTGACCATAAATAAACAATTAGCATCTTTATGATAATAAGATGCGAGTTGCCTCAACATTTGTGCTAATCGTGCATTATTTGTTCCAGCTCCAACAAGTCCCATAGCAAATATTGCATTTATGGCAACATCTGCATCATTGTCATGTGAATATTTACTTAATGTCTCTAGGACATTTAGAAGAGGATTTGAGGCACAAAGTAAACCCAAGGCAAGGGGAACCGTGCGACGAATTACTGGCTCTCCATAATGCATCTATTTTAAACAAGTACGTTAAAAATTTTTTTAAATGTGTTTTTATAGTTACAATCATGCATGACATACCAGATGGTTGAACATTCTTAATGCCATCTCTGCGCCAATATCTTCACCCATGGCAATCAAAGCTACACCTAAAACTGCAAATGCTTGATGTAAATCCTCATCTTTCTCTTTATCTAAATGATCATCGCAAATATGCATCATATTTTGCACTTTAAGTACATTTCCAGTTCCTAAAGCAAAGTTTTACATTGTTAAAATAACTTTTATTTTAAACATATAATCACCATTATTTTATGAATTATATATATATATATACACCTGCATATGAGCAAATTTCTACAAGAACTTCCACTTGTTTACTGATAGGATGTTCGATTGCCTTTAAAGTTTCTAATGTTACTTCTGCTGCATCTTGTTTTCCTACGAATAAGTTAATATATAAAAAGAGAATATAGGATTTTTACTACCATATAAGATAATTGATAAAACTTGTTGGAATAAAATACATTAAAATAAATACCAAGATATAAAAGAGCTAAACCAAGTCCCATAAACCTGCCCCATATTTCTTTCAATTGAGAATCTTCTCGTTCCATCATAGTTTGCAATATTGTGCTTGTAATATCACCATTACAATTTCCAACAAATATCAACCCTAGAGACAAAGCTGCCACTGATGCTATTTCCATGCTTAGATTAGTGTCACTAACTAAAGGTAATAAAATATCTTGAATATCTTCCCGATGTGAGCCGGCGTACGCCATTCCAAGACTTTATTAATGATTGAACTAATGTTAGTAAAATTTAAAATTTGATCAAAAATAAACAATATTGAATACAATACTTACCCAACAATGGCACATATTCTCATGTTTAGATTTGAAGACTCGATGTGTTCAGAAAGTAATGCAAATGCAGGATCATTTTCATTACGTACTCCTGTATTAAATAATCCTATTGCAAGAAGAGCACCTGCCTAGATTTATTCATATATTAGTCAATAAATTTAATAATAAAAAAGTAGACTTTGATCATTTTACAAGTAAAAAGGATTTTTATTATACCTTAATATAGTCTTCTTTAGAATATAAATATTTATCAATACATACTAACCCAGCGTCTACATCCCATAATGTAACCAAACCAATCGAGGCAGCAGCACTTAACATTCCTATAATAGTACGATGAGAATAAATGGAAATTTAAACTATATTTTTTTAAAAAAGATTCTTTCTTTTTTTTTACACACCTTGTTCTTTATTTTTGAAAAGCCACGCATTTCCATCTTCTATGGATACTAATTTGTCGGTACAAAACCCTGCATTTACAAATGCATTTACAAATGTTGAAGCTAAATTTTGTCTTGCAGAATCAACATTTCCACTTGTGTAACCAGGACCTTAAAAGAAATTAATTATTATTATTTAAGGTAATGAGAATCATGGAATAGAAATATGATTACTTTATACTTACGAATATTTTCTAAATGACTTTTATATATATCCTCTGGAGTCTTTGGTTCCATTACATCCAATTCCTCCGCTAAAGCAATGAAATGTTTTGATAAATGAGTATTATTAATTATTTCAAGAAGTTCTTCATTATCAACTGGCAAAGTTATATGTTGTCTTGCTAATTGAAAAGCTATTTGTTTTTGCAAAAGGCTTGTTTTTTTTTAAAAAAAAATATATTAATGGTCATTCAAATAAACCGTTTTTTCAAGAATTTCATAGATATAGATTTATTTACGGGTCAAAATTTCCAGCTGCTTCAAAATTTTCTTTTATTAAATCTTCATTTCCTAGTCGAATAGCAAGGGATACTGCTTCGGTAAATTTGTTGTGTTGACAATATATTTGATGGGCTGTTTTTAGAACAGAAACATCATCAGGAAAGACTAACAAATTTACACAGCTTTTTAATCAAGTATAAATAATTAGTACCAGATTATTAAAACAAAAATCTTTGTGAACTAATTAATTAAATTTGAATCTATACCTAACCATGTACCGACACACTCGTGGATAAGTATCTTTATCTACAAATTGTGGTAATTTGTCAATTGCCTCCAGTTCTAAAAATAAATCAACAGCATCAGCTTCGGCGTTATGCTTTAAGAGGAAAGGAACAATTTCTAATGCAAGGTTCATGAGATCTTCGGTGGGTTTATCACTTTCTTGACGATATAAAAATTCTTGTCCAATCTCAGTTGACAAGTGCCTTTTTTTTTATTAATATATATATGTATACATATATATACATATACATATATATATATATATATATTAATATATTGTAAGAATAAAAATAAAAAGAGTATTTCTAATAATAGGGTAATATCATACCGTACGTATTCATGTCCCCAAGAACCAGGTTCTTCACGTGATCCTTCTAATCTATATTTCAAGGAATCTCTTTTTCCTTCGTCATAAGTCATTGCCAATACAGACAAAATGTCAGCCAAAAAATGCTATTTTTTTTTAAAAAAAAGAATAATAATAATATTTGGAAATTAAAACAATTATTATAAATTATATGAACCATTATTAAAAAAAAAGTTTACTTTATTATCACTTTCTGGCCAACTTAGGTAAATCTCAGTTATGGTTGCATAATGAGGTCTCAAGAACTTTAATGGTTTTGGAACGGAGGTCATAGAACTAGTAGATGTTCGAATGTGAACACGAAGGCTCTCCAAAACCGGTCTATGAAGATCGACATTTTCCTCCTTGACAATATAGTCAAAAAAAATTAAAACATTAACTTCCTACAAATTTTTCAATCAAACGAATTCAACATGGTTTAATTGATACCTTCAATCTTTCAATCAGCAATTCTAATTCATCTTTAAGCTGAAGATCTTCTTCTGACTTCAGCGTGAAAAATATAGTATGAAAAATTAGCAACATATACCAAGATATAATAATTTTGATCTCGAATAAGATTATATTAAAAGCCTACCAATTCTTCGTCCTTTTTGTCTTTCTCAGCATCTGCTTTGTTCTCGTTTTTTTCTTTTAACTTTTGTTTATCTTTGTTGGGTGTATCCTCTGATGGTACAACGGTTTTGACTGTTTCTTTAGCCATTTTTTTTAAAAATGATTTTTTTTAAAATAATTTTTGAACGTAATCTGTGAAACCGGACAACTTAAAAATCTGAGTCCGGATTGATCAAAGGATCAAAGGTAAACCAAGTACAAGTGAATTTGTCCGAAATTTTTTTATCGGTAATGAAGAATAGAGATCTGTGTTACCAAAATTACTGATATATAGTTTTTTTTTTTTTTTAAAAAAAAATCTGAAATTTTTTTATTAATAATTTTTAATTTTTATTAATGGTAGGTTAACAATTGTTATAAATTTTTTTTTCATCAATCGATACAACTAAACAATCGAAATAATCAAAACAATCATTAATAAACTTGGATTTTTGTTAGGCCCGTGGACGAAAAAAACATTTAAAACGTCTTAATGCACCAAAACATTGGATGCTAGACAAACTTACAGGAACTTATGTAAGCATCCTTTGCTTGGTAAAAGCTCCTGATAAATATTAAAACCAATTTATCAATTATTACTAAATAGGCACCAAGACCATCACCTGGACCTCATAAGCTTCGTGATTGCTTACCGCTTGTTATATTTTTAAGAAACCGTCTCAAGTATGCTCTTAATAAGAAAGAAGTACAAAGTATTTTGATGCAACGTCTCGTGAAGGTTGATGGTAAAGTACGTACTGATACTACTTATCCTTCTGGATTCATGGGTAACTACTGGTTTAATTTAACTTATTTTATTGCTATTAAAATTTTATACTAATTTAACAATTAAACGAAAAAAAAAGATGTTATCGCTATTGAAAAGACTGGTGAAAATTTCCGATTAATATATGACACAAAAGGACGTTTTACCATCCATAGGATAACTGCAGAAGAAGCCAAATACAAATTAGCAAAAGTTAGAAGAGTTCAACTTGGTGCAAAAGGGATTCCATTTCTTGTTACACACGATGGACGTACCATAAGATATCCAGATCCTCTTATTAAAGTAAATGACACAGTTAAAATTGACCTAGAAAGTTATAAAATAACTGAATTTATTAAGGTAATTGATTGTTTAAAAGGAAAAGCTCATGGTAATTTTGGCGAGGTTGTATAATGTCTCATTTTCTAAAATAAAAATAGTTTGAAGTTGGAAATGTTGTGATGATAACTGGCGGAAGAAACATGGGAAGAGTTGGTATAATCACGTAATTATAATAATTTCTTTATCCTTGAATAATTTTTTTCAATTTAAATAGAATTTTTTTTAATTTCTGCTTTAGTCATAGAGAAAGGCATATTGGTGGTTTTGATATCGTGCATGTAAAAGATTCGCTTGAACGACAATTTGCTACACGTCTAAGCAATATTTTTATTATTGGTGAGGGTAATAAACCTTGGATTTCCTTACCAAAGGGTAAAGGTGTTAAACTTACCATTGCAGAAGAACGTGACAGGTTTGTAAATTAATGTTATGTATCTTGGATTGTAATGATTTGATCTTATCATCATTAATATTTTCCCCTCAATTTAACTAACAGACGCCGTGAAAAGCAAAAGGCATAAAGGCTTTAAGATAAAAATTACAATTTATATAATAGGAAATAATTTTTATTGATTGTTCGTAAAATTAACATAACATGATTTTAAAAAAATTCTGTATGATTCATATAAAAATATTTATATAAATAAATAAATTTTTTTATATTTTAAATTTAAAAAGTTATTTTTATTTGATTTGTTTCTATTTGTTGTACATTGAATTCCTTGTTATATTAAAAGTCATAAGATTTTCTTTCTAAAATGTGTCCAGAAAGTAAAAAACATCGCGTGTAAAAAAAATTTTTATGAAATCCAAAGGAAGTTATGTTATGTTACAAATATTAAAAAAGAAAAAATAGCAATAATAAGAAAAAAATGTTTTTTATGGGCACAAATCTTCACACACATATATATGTGTGTTGTAAATTAAAAAAAAAAAATTTTTTATATCGGTTGCAAATTTTAATTATCTTCTTCAGACGATCCATACTCTTCCATATCTTCTTCCATATCTTCCTCCATATCTTCCTCTATATCTTCCTCTATATCTTCATCTTCATCTGATGCGTACCAAAAATTTTCATCTTGATCATCCTCAACGTTTTTTTTCTGGACAATGAAATCATCAGCTGTATAAAATTGTTATATTAAAATTTGTATCGTTGTTTAACCAAACATCAAACAAAACGAGAATTAAATATATTACCACTAGTGGGTATTTTCAGTCCTTCTGGAATATCTTTTTTTGAAGTCTCGACTTGAGCTATAAATAATCATAAAAAATTTGTAATTAAAATAATTTATAAAATAAAACTCTTATTTTTATAGAAAATCAAATATACATACATCTTACAATTTTATTATATGTATCTCGATCTTTTCGGTACATAACCTTTAAAAAAATATTTTTGCTTTAATTATTTAACTATAACAACAACAACAACAATGATGATGATGATGATGATGATGATAATAATGAATATCTTGAATGAAATACTTACACCTGCATCCTATGTTTATTTGTTCCATTTAAGATGATGAAAAAATGTATGAAAGTAATTGGAAACAACAATAAAAAAATCGATATCAAATAATTACCACATTAGCAGGACTAGAACAATTAGGGTCTCCCATAAGACTAACAATACTAATCAAAATACCTAAATGACAATAAATAAGAAATTTTGGAATCAATTTTAATTTTTTAAATAATTCGACCAATTTTAATGATATACTTACTCTCTACAGATTGAGTGGGATTCCAACGTTCCTATTTAAAATTATTTAGATCAAATTGTCATAATATTGTTGACACTATAAATATTTATAAGATAAAATAAACTTACTGCAGCAGTTTCACCACTAGTTGGATCTTCTACTGGTGGATGAAGAATTGATATACACAATTTACCGTCCGTGTAAACTATACAGAAAAAATCATTAAGTATTCATCTAATAATATTTACCAAAAAAAAATTTTTATACATATATATATATATATATATATATATAGAACAATTGATTACCATTTGGATGGAAAAAATCTTTCTTGAATTTAAATGTTGGTGGATTGTAAGGATAATCTACTGGAAATTTAAGTGATGCCTATTGTTATATAATATGAAAATGGATATAAGTCAAAAAGTTATATTAAAACACATCCATAATAAATCAAGAAATTTTCATACTTTGAAATAACCGCCCTCATATATTGTACCAGGAGCTCCTATGATGCCTACATCCCTAAAAAATTGCACAAAAGTAATTATTTATAAATGTCAATATTTCTTTATTAAATGGTAAAAAAATTTATACCATTCGAAAACATTGCCTTCATCTTGCAATGCTACAGTAAAACCAGGTACTGGATTACGTGTAAGCTCTAAATATCGGTTTAAAATAATTTGAATATATACGTATTAACAAACTATTATCGATATTAAAGAAGAAGAAAAAACATAAGAATTATTAAACCTTTAAATTGTTTTAATAAAATGCTTGCAGCGCTAGACATTTTGAAATTTTGGTTATGTAGATTTGATTTTAGTAAATAAAATAAAACTTGATAAATGTAGTGAAAAAGAAACCAAAAAAACCTTTTGTTGTTATAACACGTGATTAAAAAGTGACACGAATAAATATAGTCAAATAGAATAATAAATCTTTGTTACCGTTACATTAATAATAAAAAAATTTCATTTATTTTTTTATTTTTTAAAAGAAAATTTTTTTTTGATAGACTTGATCAAAATTCTATATTATGCATTATATAGAGAGGAAGATCATTTTCTTGTATGTTTTAAAACCATCAAAATTTGTCGCTCATCGGAATGTAATTTTTCTTATTATTATTATTACAATGGACTCAAAAAATCCGTTGATGCTTTGAAATCCGCTATGCCGAGAGTTTACTTAAGAGTCTACCCACAATAGGTATATGTGTGTATATATCACGACGCGTCTTTTCGAAGCTGTGATGATTGGAGCTTCGATTTGGTTTCCAATAATCAAATATTTATTTGAAAATTTTTTTTAAAAAGTAGTGGTTGTACTCATTTATTTTATTTATTATTATTATTATTCAATTAGATTTAATATTCGGATAGTCATTTGGTTATTAATAAAGTATCCAAAGAAATTTATTAACAAGAATACATTCTATCAAAATTATCAATATATTCAATTTCTTCAAATAAAAATGGATTAAGTTTTTCGTTGTATTTTCAACTCAACTAAATGAACACTCACATTGCAGGTACACGCATACACACATAAGTATTTAGTAGTCAACATTGATTGGAAAAGAGGAAATCTATAGTGAATCATACCTCTAATCTATTTCTTCTATTCATCAAGTCCTGATATAAATTTCTTGCCTATTAAAAGTAATGTTGGTTTATATATGGGACACACTACAACTAATACTAACACTAAATGAACATTTCAAAAATGATGAAATGCCACAACTGTATTATTGAGATAATGAATGTAGTTGTGATTAAAAAAATCTAGTGCCTCTAATTTAGTTTCTTAATCAACCTAGAAACTCCCAATAGATAAAGCACAAACCCAACATTCAAACAAATGACATTCTTCTATAGTGCAAGTCACTTAATCCCACAACTTTCTGTGCCATGCCGCCAATTTTGAGAAATCAAAAATGCAATAAAAATTTTACAGTCACATGATTTTTGAAAATTGTCTAATTTTTCTTTTACATTTATTCTTATATATACATATGTAAATGATGATCAGAACAATAAACAACAACAATAATGATTATAGTGATGTTATTAAATATTGGTTAAAATAAAAGAGAAATTATATAACTATTGAATGATTGATAAAACCTTTGTTAGTATATTTTGTTCATAGATCTTGTTTGTCCTTAAAGCTTACTCCTACAGAAACTATTAAATAATTGATAAACGTTCATTAGAATATTTTGCAAATTGCACGTTTCTTTGATTAATGCAATAGTCTATTTATTAAATTTAAAATAAA